CACCCGCCAGGTAATTAGCGGGACCTGAGACTCGCACGTCTAAAGCCGGGGATGTAGCCCCCACCCGCCCCCGGGATGTGGCGGCCCAGATTTCAGCACCAAGTGGAGGACAGCACCCGCGTGGACTAGCTAAACCCCAACACCCTTCCCCCAAACCCCTCGGTTTAAACCGAAACCCGATCCATCTACCCTGTAGGTGTGGAAGGGTGACATTGCCCAACCTATGCTCTGCTTTCGGCCTGCCCCAGCCACCTCTCCCTTCTCCCGGGGGCAGCCGCGGGGAAACCGCGGAATAAACACAGATACCAGAGGAGGATATGGAGAAAGCACAGGGTTAGAGGCAGGCACTGGGAAAGACACCCATTGGCTCAAGGTCACCTTTTCCTTAGAACCAGGAAGAGGAGCAAGGTGCTTCCTTGCCACCTCTGTGCACTCCTTACAAGGCTGAGAAAGGAGTCCCTGGCAGGAACCAGGGAAATATTAATTCTTATGCCATCTGTGCTGTGTCCTCCACCTCCACTCTGCACCCAAGTCTGAAGCCCTGTTATTTCCTGCCTCTACTTCTCATGATCCCCCACTTTTTGTTCCTTTTGTCTCTCCCACTTTCCTCCCCGCCCCCTACCTCGCCTTTGATCTTTTACTTCTCTGCGTCTTTTCCAGACTCAGACGTGTTTCCTGCTCACAGGATGCCCTCTGCGTTTCCTCGGCAAGCTTGCTCACCTGTTGGTGGTGGGGGTGTCGGGCTGGGGTTGGGCAGGGAATTGTTAGTTTCCTCTTCCTCCTCTCCCTTGGCTTCTCTCTCCGTAGTTCCTAGTTCCTGGGCTGGAGGACAAGGTAAAGTCAGGTGGTGAAGGGTGTGGTGAGATGACTGGGTGTGGGACTGGGACAGGCAGGCACAGGTCTCCAGACACCACATGTGTTTCCTTTCTTGGCTCCCTAATGCTGTTTAATCCAGAGGCAAGTGGTGTACCAGGGCATGAGGTCGTCAGGGCATCTCTGCCTTCCTCGTGATCCCCTCTTCTGCCCTGTCTCCTCATAAAACTCATATTCAGACTTGAGAGGGCTTTGTTTCCTAGCTCCAGGTATGACTTGACCTTTGTCCTGGTAGCAAGGAGAATGAATGCTAGAGTTGAAATAGAGATGAGGGGCTTCAGCGTAGAGGGTCAGTTAAGGTGGAGTAGCACTGTGGCATTAGTCCCTTACCTCTGCTATCCTGTTGTACCCGCAAGACAGTAAGATACTCAGAAATCTTAAGAGAGAGTATTTGGGAAAGAGAATTCCCTTTACATCAAGAACTCCCCCATACTACTCTCATTCCCTTCATTCCCCTTAGGCCTTCCTTGTGTTCTTTTTTTCCACCTTCTTCATTTGTGGGTATTCTTAGAAGTGTCCACCTCTCCTTTGGGTCCATTCCTTCTTCTCCTGGTAAGACATCAATTGTTAGAGAACAGAGTTATGCAGCTGCAGTGTGGAAAATGTTACCTGTGTTGTGGGGTCTCTTTACCTAGGTTAAAAAGTAGCCATGAGTAAATAAATATAACTTCTTAGAATAGCATGTATTTATCCAGATTAATAGGGAGATAATCTTCCAGAGCCATAGGGTAGCTATTTGATTGAGAGGGTGGTTACTAAGATTAAGGAATAGGGAATGGGAAGAGAGAATTACAGAAGGAGAAATAAGACAGCCAGAGGAGTAGAGAAATTACCCAAGTTTAGAGAGTAGCTTCCCAAATGTGAACAATAATTCCACTGAGAAAAAGTCAAGTACTTGTGCACTTTTCTTTCTTTTCTTTTTTTTTTTTTTTTTTGAGACAGTATCCTGCTCTGTCCACCACAGGATGGATGCAGTGGCCACGATGTCTGCTCACGTGCAATCTCTGGCTCCCAGTTCACACCCATTCCCTGCCTGCAGCCTCCCGAGTAAGCTGGGACTACAGCTCACCCGCCACCATGCTCCCGGCTAATTTTTTTTTTTTTTTTGTATTTAGTACAGACGGGGCCAACTGTGTTTGAAGCACACGCATGGTTTTGGACTCTCCTGACTCATGATCTCCCTGCCTCAGCCTCCCAAAGTGCCAGGGATTACAGGCGTAAGCCACCAACCCCAGCACTTGGTGCACTTTTTATCCCTCATGTGCCTTCTGGGACGGCCAATTCATCACTATTTATGCTCCATTTAAAAAGTTATTTTACAGCATATGGAAGTAATCAATATATGGTATTGATATATGGTATTTTATTTATTTAATAAGAATTATTATTGTAAATAGTATTTAATATTTTTAAAGCACTTTACAATTACAAGGAACTTTTATATGTATTATTTCATTGAGTTGAATTGGATTGTTCCAATGATTACTAGGGACAGAGTCTACATTTTCAGGGGGACAGTAACGGAAGTTAACTACCTGGAAGATGCTGTAATAGCTAGTTTGAAGGGCTAGAGTGGTGGAGGGGGTATGAGCCTGAGCATGAACTAGTGAGGCATCTATTCCTCTTAGAATAATCTATTGCAGCCCTTAGAATCATTTCTATGTCCATTCAGGAGGCCTTGTGGGGTCAGTACAATGTGGCACGACTGGAAAAGTGGCAAGACCTCTAATGTTGCAGAGAAGAAAGACGGAACAACTGTCTTGACCAGGGAAACCCAAGTGAAGATGCAAAGATAATAAGAACAATAACATATACAATACAAAATGCTTCCATATTATCAGTACCCTTTAAGTGAGGTGTTTTGTTGTTGTTGTTTATTGAGACAGGGTCTCTCTCTGTCACCCAGGTTGGAATGTAATGAGGTGATCTTTGCTCACTGCAAACTCCATCTCCCAGGCTCAAGTGATCCTCCTGCCTCAGCCTCATAAGTAGCTGTGACCACAGGCATAGGCCACAACGCCTGGCTAGCTTTTGTATTTCTTGTAGAGACAGGGTTTCATCATGTTGCCCAGACTGGTCTTGAACTCCTTGCACTCCAGCAATCTGCCGCCTCGGCCTTCCAACGTGCTGGCATTATAGGCATGAGTCACCACAACAGGCCTTAATTAGTTTTGTTGTTGTTGTTGTTGTTGTTTGAGACGGAATCTGGCTTTCTCGCCAGGCTGAGGTGCACTGGCGCTATTTCGGCTCACTGCAATCTCCACCTCTGGGTTTAAATAATTCTCCTACCTCAGCCTCCCGAGTAGCTGGGATTACAGGTGCGCACCACTACATCCAGCTAATTTCTGCATTTTTAGTAGAGACGGGGTTTCACCATGTTGGCCAGGATGGTCTCACTCTTCTGACCTCGTGATTCGCATGACTCGGCCTCCCAAAGTGTTGGGATTACAGGCGTGAGCCGCCAAGCCTGGCCATAGGTTTTTAATCCCAGTTTTATGGATGAGAAAAATAAAGGCTCAGAGAAGTTAAGTGAGTCGCTCAAGGCTGCACAGATATGAAAGGTAAGGCCAGGATTCAAATCCAGCTTTGTCTGGAGCGTAGAGAAAAAGCAGGCTGTGGAGATAGGAATCAATTTGTCTAGAAATCCAGGTCCATCCATTTTCTTGCCTCCTCTGTAAATATCTCTCTGTTCCTTCTCTTAACTTTCTTGTCTGCTTCTCTCCTTGTCTCTTTTTGTCTCCAGTCTCCCTGTCACTCCTCTTTACATCTGTTAATATTTTCAGCCTTTATTTATTGGATCTGTACATATATGAGACCCTGTTTTGTCTCATAAGACAAACGGAAGACCCGGTTTTGTTTGTTTGTTTTGAGACGGAGTGTCGCTCTGTCGCCCAGGCTGGAGTGCAGTGGCGCGATCTCGGCTCACTGCAAGCTCCGCCTGCCGGGTTCACCTCATTCTCCTGCCTCAGCCTCCTGAGTAGCTGGGACTACAGGCGCCCGCCACTACGCCCGGCTAATTTTTTGTATTTTTAGTAGAGACAGGGTTTCACCGTGTTAGCCAGGATGGTCTCGATGTCCTGACCTCTGGATCCGCCCGCCTCGGCCTCCCAAAGTGCTGGGATTACAGGCGTGAGCCACCGCGACCCGCCTTTGGAAGACCTGGTTTTGCTCTGAAGGAGCAGCAATGGCACAAACTCTGCCTCTTCCTCTTTCTCAGCATCAGGCTTCCCACCCACCCCGTCGTCTCATGGAACGTCTCTGTCTAGACCATGCATCTGGACTTTGGCGACGCAGTAAGAAATCAAAGGAAGGGAGCATTAAGTTGCATTCCCTCCCGGAGCCACCAGGGGTCACGCTCCTCCGCGCAGAAGCGCTGGCCAACGCAGCCTGACTCTTTTGCCGGTGCGCGCCCTTCGCTGATTGGTGGTACGGCAAAGAAGTCGCGCTTTGATTGGGCCGCTGTCAGGTGTCGCTGCCGGCAGGTTCGGCTGCGCGAGCGGAGGGAGGCGGGTGAGTGAGGGCCGGGGGCGGTGGGGGAGTGGCTGGGGCTGGGGGCGGTATCGGAGGGGGTGGGCGCGGTAGAGTGGGCTTGGTGGATTCTCGGAGCAGCGGTTCGTTCTAGGTGGGCTCCGCTTTGGGAGGAGGCCCAGCGGAGGGGCCTCAGTGTCAGCGTAGGGAGAGTGGGGCGGCCAAGGCGAGGGCGGGCAAAGGCTAGTGGAGTCGGGATGGGAGGGCGGTATTCGTGACCCGGAGCTGTGCGAGGAGAGTACCGAGGAGAGGGTCGGCGGGAGAGGAGGTGGATGGGTATGTGGGGGTCTGCGTGAGGAAGAGGGGGTCCTGCGGGAGGCTGGAGGAGCGGAGTCGTACAGGGGAGAGGATCAAGGTGGAAGGGATCTGCGCCAGGAGGGGTGGGGCTGGAGTCCAGGGGGAAGGGGGTAGCTTGAGGAATGGGTTGCGGCGGAGAGAAGACAGCCTCGAGAGAGGGGTGGTGTGAGGAAAGAATGGATGGCAGGCCGTCTTTGTGGGGGGTCACTGGGGGTCAATATAAAGATGTTACCCAGTATGGTGACTCGTGCGAGGGGGTGAAGGAGTTTAATACTGGGGAATCAGTGAGTGAGAGGATTAGTTGGATTAACGGAATTAGTTGACCAATGATGCGGGACGGGATGGGGAGGCTGCAGTCAGTATTGGGGCAAGAGTCGTAGCAAGTTGGGAAAAGAAGATGGAACGAAGCAGCTGATACTGAGAACAGGGAGAGGAGCACAGTTGATCAGAGTCGGAAGGAGGAGTGTGTCTGAAGAATTAAAAATTGCATTAAGAAGGAAGTGAGGTGTCCGCTGTTCAAGGTGGGCAGAAAATAGTGTTGGTGGCCTGAGGAGTTTTTCTGTGTTGGAAGTATTCCTGCCTGGAATTTGTATTGATATTTCGTCTTCGCTACCAATGGAGTCCACCATCAAGTGCATAGTGATTTAGGAAATTAAATGACTATGCAAGCAGCCCTAAAGTCAAAGGGATAACGAAGTTACACCGTGTGCCCTCCCTTCTACCCCTTCTCCAGATCTGATTTAACATAGATGTTCCTGAGAAGATTGCCTGCCTGCCCCTCCCTCCTTACCTTACTCGCCTATCTCCTTGCTTCTTTCTGTCTATTCACGTTGATTCCTGTCGGCCTAAGACTGCTCTTTAGCCCAGTGTGGAGTGTGAAGTTTTTTCTTTTGCAACACAGTTTTGGAGCGAGGCGGATGGGGAGAAGAGCATGGAAAACAGGGAAGCGGCTCTGGGAACACCACATTAAAGTCTAGCTTCTCCCAGAGGTGCATCTAAATAAATCCTGGCTTATTTCATAGCTATTTCTGTCAGGCTTCTATTTTTGCTTTGTTAACTGGGAATTTAGACCTTTCGTCTCTCTTCAGCCACTTATTTGTAAACAGTCTTTTCCCTATTCTATTACTTACCATGCCTCGTTATGTAGTTGCAATAGAATTTCAAGACCGTGACTGTACATTCGGTAGAAAACGAGGAAGGACTCAATGGAAGAAAGGGCAAAGGGTTAGGAATCTTAGACTTGAGAGAAAGTCCCTGCTTCAGAGCGAGGATGAAGAATGCAAGAAAATTCTAATTGCTCAAACTATACAGGGACCTTGGGAATGTCCCAAGTCAGGGAAATTGGGTCAGGTCACTGAAAAGGAATTTAAAAAATAGCCTTTTTATCAGGGAGAAGAGTGTGTGTATGACATACAGTACACAACTAGAAATATTAAGTCTAAGGAGAATGTCGCACCCCCGTGGCATTGATTAAAACAGAATAAAGACAGCAGATGATGGAAACTGGAAGATCGGAGAGTTCGAGGTCCTATATAAAAGGCTCCGCTAGCAACTTTTATATTTTTTTGCATTCTTTAGACACGGGATTTACTTCTTGCGGGTCCACCCAGCCCGCGTCGCAGCTGGATTCAGCTCTGCCCAGGGGCCTCCCTGGCTTCAAATGACTACTCCAGCTTACATCTGAGTTGCTTGGTATTACAGGTGTCGCGCTCAGCGCACCAGGCTAATTTTTTTGTATTTTTAGTGAACGGGGTTTCACCATGATGGCCAGACTGTCTTGAACTCCTGACCTCAAGTGATCTGCGCTGCCTGGCCTCCCAAAGTGCTGAGATTATGGCATGAGCCACCGTGCCCAGCAGTCAGCTAGAACTTCTAGTCAAAATTGCAAGCCCTCATTTAATGAAAGAGTTTAAAATAAAGATAGAGAAAATAATTCAAGATTATTTTCAAAATCTATGAGACTAATTACATATATAAGATATCATTTCTTAAGACAAGTTCATTTACTTAAGGAGTTTGTGGCTTTTACTAGAGTCACTGGGCAGTGTTTCTGAGAGCTTTTGGAGACTATGGAAAATTGCTGATGTGTGACTCAATTTTTATTTTTGGAAAATAATAACAGATATTCATATCCTTACAATTCATATGAACAAATGTTAACCTTTTGTGTATTTGCTTCAGATCTTTTTTACAATTGAAATAAACATTGTAGATAAGGTTATGAAGTACCATTTGAATCCTCAGTTCCATTCTCCCTTCTCCTCAAAGGTAACCACTATCATGAATTTGATGTCTTTCTTTCCAGTCCCTGTTTTTATACTTCTGCTAATTATATATGCAGTCATAAACCATATGTAACATTTGTATTTATACAAATAGAATTGTGCTGCAGGTGTATTTCTGCAGTTTGTATTTGGAAACTGTCCATTTATTACATATAGCTTTTATTTTTACATTGTGATTAGTCTGTCATTTCTGTATAAGACATATTTATTGATTCTACTTGTAACCTCTGAACTGTTTTGTTTTTCTCATTACCAACAGAGAGATGAAGAAGGTTAAGAACTTCCTCACAAAAGTCTTCTTATGTAGGAGAATTTCTCTACAGCAGGGTTTCTCCACCTCAGCACTACTGAGATTTAAGGCTGGATAATTCTTGGTTGTGAGGAGATATCTTATCTTATGCATTTTAGAATGTTCAGCAGTGTCCCTGGCATCTACTCACTAGACACCAATAGTACCTTTCCAATTGTGACAACCAAAAATGTCTCCTGCCAAACGTCCTCTGTGCAGCAAAATCACAGCTGGTTGAGAACCACTACGTTACTTGTGTGTATACAGAAGTGGAACTGCTGGTTCAAGTTAAAGTTAAAGTCTCTTTTTTTTTTTTTTTTTGAGACAGAGTCTTGCTCTGTTGACCAGGCTGGAGTGCAGTGGTGGATCTCGGCTCACTGCTTTCTCTGCCTCCCAGGTTCATGCCATTCTCCTGCCTCAGCCTCCCGAGTAACTGGGACTATGGGTGCCCACTACCACGCCCGGCCGATTTTTTTTTTTGTATTTTTAGTAGAGACGGGGTTTTGCCGTGTTAGCCAGGATGGTCTCGATCTCCTGACCTCGTGATCCACCCGCCTCGGCCTCCCAAAGTGCTGGGATTATAGGCATGAGCCACTGCACCCGGCCCTCAAGTTAAAGTCTTAAGATATTCTTACTTGTGCAGTTTTAGGCAGGATTTTTTTTTTTTTTTTTCACTGTTGCTCCTGGTATGAGGGACCTTGGACTAGACTAACACTGCTTCTGTAGTACCAGGGGACACTAGAGAGAACATTGAGATTTCAGTTTGAGAATGGATTGGAGACTGCTGTATGGATGCCTGTATCCTCAACCTCCCAACCGCACTAGACCTCTTTGCCTGAACAGATTTTCTGAACTTGGGCATCTGTCTTTTATTATTATTATTGTTATTATTATTATTTGAGGCAGGGTCTTACTCTGTCATCCAGGCTGGAGTGCAGTGGCACGATCACGGCTCACTGCATCCTTGACCTTTTGGGCTTAAACAATCCTTCCACCTCAGCCTATTGAGTAGATGGGACCACTGGCAAGTACCACTCACTATGCCTCACTAATTTTTAAAAACTTTTTGACCGGGTATGGTGGTTCATGCCTGTAATCCCAGCACTTTGGGAGGCCGAAGCGGGCAGTTCATGAGGTCTGGGGTTCAAGACCAGCCTGGCCAGCATGGTGAAACCCCGTCTCTACTGAAAAATAATGCAAAATATTGGCCGGGCATGGTAGAGTGTGCCTGTGATCCCAGCTGCTCGGGAGGCTAAGGCAGGAGAATTGCTTGAACCCGGGAGGCGGAGGTTGCAGTGAGCTGAGGTAGCGCCACTGCACTCCAGCCTGGGTGACAGAACGAGACTCCATCTCAAGAAAAAAAAGAAACTAATTTTTTTTTTTTTCAGTCTTCTGTCACCCAGGCTGGAGTGCAGTGGTACAGTCACGGCTCACTGTAGTCCTGACCTCTTGGGCTTAAACAATCCTCCCAGGTTAGCCGCCCAAGTAGCTGGGACCACAGGAATATGCTACCATCTCTGGCTAATTTAAGAAAAAGCTTTTGTTGGCCGGGTGCGGTGGCTCACGCCTGTAATCCCAGCACTTTGGGAGGCCGAGGCGGGCAGATCATGAGGTCAGGAGATCGAGACCATCCTGGCTAGCACGGTGAAACCCCGTCTCTACTAAAAATACAAAGAAAAAAAAAATTAGCCGGACATGGTGGCGGACGCCTGTAGTCCCAGCCACTCAGGAGGCTGAGGCAGGAGAATGGCGTGAACCCAGGAGTCGGAGCTTGCAGTGAACCGAGATGGCGCTACTGCACTCCAGCCTGGGCGACAGAGCGAGACTCTGTCTCAATAAAAAAAAAAAAAGAAGAAAAAGCTTTTGTAAAGGCACGGTCTCCCTGTATTGCCCAGGCTGGTCTCAAACTCTGAGGCTCAAGCAGTCATCCTGTTTCAGCCTCCCAAAGTGCTGGAATTACAGGCATGAGCCCCTGTGCACAGCCTTAAATTTCTTTTTGTAGAGATGGGGTCTTGCTATGTTGCTCTGGCTGGTCTCAAACTCCTGAGCTCAAGTGATCCTCATACCTCAGCCTCCCAAAATACTGGAATTATAGGGATAAACGATGGCATCTGACTGGGCATCTGTCTTTTAAGGTGGAGTAGATGAAAGAGAAAGAGAGCATGGGGATTTTATTATGTTTTTTATTTTTGGTTTGAGAGAGGGTCTCACTCTGTCACCCAGGCTGGAGTGCAGTGGCATGATCTCAGCTCACTGCAATGTCCACATCCTGGGCTCAAATGATCCTCTTGCCTCAGCCTCCCAAGTAGCTGGGACTTCAGGCATGCACCACCATGCCTGCCTAATTTTTGTATTTTTTTGTAGAAACTGGGTTTTGACATGTTGCCCAAGCTGGTCTCGAACTCCTGGACTCAAGTGATCCATCCTCCTCAGCCTCCCAAAACGCTGGAATTATAGGTGTAAACCAGTGTGCCTGGCCTTAATGTTCTGATATAATACTTAGAATGTAGGGTGCCCTCAATAAATATTACTTAAGACCCATGGGACCCCTTCAGCCAGGCTACTGGTTACTTCCTGACCCCACACTATCTGACTAACGGAGCCTGGGCCTCTTATACACAGTCTTCTTAACTCCACTTATATTCCCCGCCCTTTTTTTTTTGAGACAGAGTCTCGCTGTGTTGCCCAGGCTGGAGTGCAGTGGCATGATCTCGGCCCACAGCAACCTCAACCTCCTGGGTTCAGGTGAGCACATCTGACTAATTTTTGTGTTTTTAGTAGAGACAGGGTTTCACCATGTGACCAGGCTGATCCTGAACTCCTGAGCTCAAGTGATCCACCCGCCTCGGCCTTCCAGTGTGCTGGGATTACAGGCATGAGCCCCTATGCCTAGCCTCCATTTATATTCCTAATCACAGTTTCCTATTCTTTTTCTTTTTTCTTTTTTTTTTTTTTGTGACAGTGTCTGGCTCTGTCTCCCAGGCTGGAGTGCGGTGGTACACGCATGGTTCACTGCAGCCTCTACCTCCTGGGCTCAAGTGATCCTCCCACCTCAGCCTCCCAAATAGCTGGGACCACAGGCGTATGCCACCATGCCTGGATAATTTTTTTTCTTTTAACTTTTTTATAGACAGGCTGACCTTATGTTGCTTATGCTCACCATATGTTTCTGCTGGGCCTAAGTGATCCTCCCACCTCAGCCTCCCAAAGTGCTGAGATCACAGGCACGAGCCCTGCTCAGCCCCCCTATTTTTTGACATGTCAAGTAATGTGATGACAGGAGGTGGGAGAGGCTCTGATAACATTTATGATCTTAGGATGGAACTTTCTCGTGTCATTGCAATTATTCGTCATGGGGATCGTACTCCCAAGCAGAAGATGAAGATGGAAGTGAAACACCCAAGGTAGGAAGAGTGTCCTAATTTACACAAATAGGTTTTTGTGAGGAAGACTGCATGGGGTGCAACTCCTAGAGGCTTTGACTGTCTCATCCCACACTGAAGCTTCTCATTATTTCTTCAGGTTTTTTGCTCTGAAAAACATGGTGGCTACAAGACAGGGAAATTAAAACTCAAGCGACCTGAGCAGCTCCAGGTAAGGTAGTGAATCTGGCCAGGAGGAGCAGTGCTATGAGAGAGAGAGAGGGTATGGCATTGGGAGTCTTGATAAAAGACTGGGATCAAAAGGTAACTGTCTAGGACTTGGCCTTCTGCATGGATACCTTATTTCCTCTAGGAGGTGCTGGATATCTGGTGTTGGCTGAACTGGAGAAAGAACCAGGTGGTGAGATCAAGGAGAAGACTGGAAAACTAGAGCAGCTGAAGTCTGTATTGGAGATGTGAGAAAGGGGATAGCAAAAGGGAGCCAATAACAGTGAGAGTTGGGGTGCTGGAACAGAAAATAAACTGTGACTTTATCCTGCAGGTATGGTCACTTCTCAGGTATAAACCGGAAGGTACAATTGACTTACTACCCTCATGGAGTAAAAGCGTCTAATGAGGGGCAAGGTAAGATGTAGTCCCCCTTACCATTACCTCTCAGATCTTGTGTTCTTTTTATTTTTTTTTGTCTATCTTCTCTCCCCACCAGATGTCTTTTACTTGAGCCTGTAGATGACCTATACCTCAAATTACCTCTCTGGCCTCTTCAGAAGACCTAACATTTAGATGTTCCCACTACTTTTCTTAGATCTAGACCATTCACTGCCGCTTATTCCCTCAGATCCACAGAGTGAGGCTCTGGCCCCATCCCTGTTGCTGGTGCTGAAGTGGAAAGGAGAACTGACTCTAGCTGGCCCTGTTCAGACTGAGAAGCTGGGGCGAGCTTTTCGCTGCATGTACCCTGGAGGACAGGGTGAGTGTTTTGGGGAGTAAACACAACAGGGCCGGGATAAAAATGATTAGAGAGTAAGTTGGGGAAAATGAAGTGACAGAGACAGTGGGGAAATGAATATTTTTTCTTCCACGAGTATTTATAGCAGTCCATTCCTGGTCCCCTGCTTTGTCCCCAGGTGACTATGCTGGCTTCCCTGGTTGTGGACTGCTTCGTCTCCATAGCACTTTCCGCCACGACCTCAAGATCTATGCCTCTGATGAGGGTCGTGTTCAGATGACTGCTGCTGCCTTCGCCAAGGTGCATACTACAGTTCTATAGTCCCAGTTTCCATTAGGTAGAGAAGCAGAGTTTGGAGAACCAGTTGGAGCATTTCAGGGTGCTTGTAGGCCAACTCAGAAGTTTCTGCATGTATTGGACCCATTTTGTACTACTGAGAATGAGCTGAGAATAATCAGTGATTGTAGGCCCCATCTCTTCAACCAGGTCCCATTCGATCCCTGGGACCATCTAGGCCTAGGGATACTAACCTGCTAACCTGCAAGGGAAACAAATAGACCTTGTGCTTTCTCTTTAGGGCCTTCTGGCTGTAGAAGAGGAGCTGACACTCATTTTAGTGTAAATGGTGAAGAGTGCCAACATGAATGGGCTACTGGACAGCGATGGGGATTCCTTGAGCAGCTGCCAGCACCGGGTGAAGGCTCAGCTGCACCATATTTTACAGCAGGATGCGCCCTTTGGCCCTGAGGACTACGACCAGGTCAGGCACTAAAATAACCTGGATCCCCAATTCCTAGAATTCTAAATAGTAGGGATCAATAATAACAGTATTTACTGCATGCTAGGCACTGTTTTAGTTGGTTTACACATATTGTTTAGTCCTTACAGCAACCCTTTGAGATAAGTACAGGTCTACAATCTCTTGTCCATAATTTTGAAAATTAAAAAGATTTTTTTCTTGACACTAAGATTCATTTGGCAGCCAAACCTGACACGAACTGTCGTAAGACTTTTATACTCCTTAGTTTTCCCACTTTATAGTCATGCATTTTGTGGCAGAAATATTAATGTGTTTGGTTATGCCATAGGCCCTGTTGGAGGTATTATATACATATGGCATATATACTGTATTCAGTTCTAAACTCCCACACATTCTCAATTCCAAAGCACAGCTCTGATCCCAAGGACCCTGAACTAAAGAATGTTTCAGTTATCCATTGTTGCATAATAAACTACCCCAAAACATAGTAACCTAAAACAACAACCATTTTATTATCTGTCACAGTTCCGGGCCCATCTGATCTTGCTTGGAGTCTCTCCTGAAATTGCGTCAGATATTGACTGGAGCTGGAACCATCTGGAATTCAGCTGGGATTGTGGGATGGCTGGCTCTCTCCCTCTGCATGCTCTCCCAGTAATCTCAGTGCCTCTCCTCTCCACTTGGTTCTTCATATGGTTTCTGTAGCATGATAGCTGGATGTATTAAATGGTAGCAGTAGGGATATTCAAAAGCAGAAGCTTAGAAACTTTCTTAAAGTGTAGGCTCAGAATTAGCACAACATAACTTTGTTATTTTTTATTGGTTAAGCAGTCACCGGGCCAGCTAGATTTAAGGGAAGGGAAGGAAGACAAAGAATTGATGGTGATCTTTAAAGCACTATGAGGACTGCAGACCACAAGGACTTTCTTCCCATTTTACAGATGAGGAAACCTAGGCTCAGAAGAATCTAAGCAATTTTCCCCATATCATCCAGCTAATACAAACCCAAGGAGTCTAACTCCAAAGCCCAGGCTGTTACAATGCTTTATAGTGTTAATTCCACTATATGCCATTACCCAATATGGTCATTCTTTTTCCTGCATATCTAGGCCACAATTTACCAGGCAGTGGTTTTCTACTCTTCCCACTCCTCACTTCTGATATGTTATTTTTTTAAAAAGTTTAAAAATGTAAAATTGTGGTACCACTTTAACCATTTTTAAGTGTACAGTTCAGTAGCATTACATGAATTTACATTGTTGTGTAACATTTCTGATTGGTTCTTAAATGAGCTAAGTAAGCACATTGCTATGATTCCATGGCATTTTCTGTGTTCTCTGAGTAGGACTTGATAAGGAAGAGGATGTTGCTCCTTTATTTCCCAATCCATTGCTCACTGTCAAACTCAAAAAAGCTAAGGCAGCTTTCCTTTTCTGCCTTGCCTTCTTTTGCAAGCAAGAATGAAACTTGTGAGGATCTGAATAGAATTGTGCATTTTCAGCCACAATCTTGATTCTCCCTCTCCATTTCTCATTGACTGTTACTGTCCTAAAAGCCTGAGTCGGAACCCAGTTCTGAGGCAGCATTTCTACTCTAGGCTCAGGCTGGCATCTTGTTTAGAGGAAGAAGATGATGTTATCTCTGATCTCTACTCATGAAAACATTCTGTGGAGATTTTGAGGGATTTTGGTTTAATCCTTATTCTCCAGTATTTTCCATGTGTATTCTAGAGCCTTCAAGAAAATAACTTAGGTCTGTTTTATTTTCTCTGGACTCTAAGACTCTTAAAATCAATCCCTCTTAGATGACTATATGCTAGAGCAGTGCCCTTACCTGAAGGCCTAGAGCTGCTACTATGCCCAGTAACCTAAGAATGCTCACTGGAGTGAACCAGCATACAGATCTGTATTGTGGGTAGTCTCTGTGTAAGAAGCTCACAGGAATCTGGGCAATTAGTGCTGAGCTTATCTTGCTTTTCTTGTCTCAATTCTTCATAGCTGGCTCCCACCAGAAGTATTTCCCTGCTCAACTCCATGACTATCATCCAGAATCCTGTGAAGGTCTGTGATCAGGTATTTGCCCTGATCGAAAACCTCACCCACCAGATCCGGGAACGAATGCAGGACCCCAGGTCTGTAGGTGGGTGTGAATACTACTATCTTCCCTTCAAGGTCTCAGGTATGGATGGGTTTCTCAGGCATTCTTGTGTCATCTGCTAAATGTCAGAGACCAGGCCGCCTCCTCCCTCTGGTTCTACTTCAGAGTCATCAGGGTCTTTGGTTGGAGGTAAAATCTTTGATTCTTGTCTGATTTCTGCCTTTCTTCCAGACCTGCAGCTCTACCACAGTGAGACACTAGAGCTAATGCTACAGCGTTGGAGCAAGCTGGAGCGTGACTTTCGACAGAAGAGTGGGCGCTATGATATCAGTAAGATCCCTGACATCTATGACTGTGTCAAGTATGATGTGCAGCACAATGGGAGTCTGGGACTTCAAGGCACAGCCGAGTTGCTCCGTCTCTCTAAGGCAATGGCTGATGTGGTCATTCCCCAGGTGTGTCTTGTATAAGGGACCTAGCCTGGGGATGAGGGTGTTGGGAAGGAAAGAGAGAAAAGGTGGAAAGGAAGAATGATTTGGGACTAGAGGAAAGCCACTTAGAGAAGGAATAAGTTGAGTTTCTACATTTCTCAGGGTCCAGTCTGGCTCTTGGTAAGTACAGGAGGCTAATTCAGGAGACACCTGGAAGAGGGGGAGTGTAGTGGATATGAAAGAAGCGCTAGACGTGAGGTGAAGACAGGCATGATCTTGGTCCTGGGAATATGAGGCATGAGAAAACAAGATTTATTGAGGTATTTATTCCTGGCCTGTGGCCCCTAGGAGTACGGGATCAGCCGGGAGGAGAAACTGGAAATTGCTGTGGGCTTCTGTCTTCCACTGTTGCGGAAGATACTGCTTGACCTGCAGAGAACCCACGAGGATGAGTCTGTCAACAAGCTGCATCCCCTGTGAGGGAGGGCTGGGAGGGGTGTTGGATGGAGGGAGGGGCATGTCAGGGAGTCTTGTGGGAATCAAGGCTGGGACAGCCTGGGGAAGCAAGAATAGACAAGATTTTGGGATGGAAAGGAGAGAAGTCTTTGAGGTGGGAGAAGAGAGTTTGCAGAAGGGTGGAAGGAGGATTAACTGACTGTGTGAGTGATTTAGCTGTTATCTCAGGTACTC